ACAGAGGAGTGGAAACCATTCAGTCAGTCTGACCCAACCCTGCAGTCTTCCAAAAGGAATTTCTTCTTTGTGGAGACAGGGCATGGCCAGGAATTCCAACACATGCAGTCAGAGGGCCTTGCACAATTGGGCACCTGACCTGTATGGTCCCCAATGTTCCTGATGTTCTCCTGCACACACTGCTGGGGTGAGACTGACCTGTATGGTCCTCAATGTTCCTGATGTTCTCCTGCACACACTGCTGGGGCAAGACTGACCTGTATGGTCCTCAATGTTCCTGATGTTCTCCTGCACACACTGCTGGGGTGAGACCAAAGTGACACTCTACTCCTGCTTTTGCTGCAGCCTCTGACGAGAGGGGAACCTATTGGGATAAAGCACCCCGAATTTTTGCTTCACTATTTGCCCCTGTAGGAACAGCAAAAGCTACAATAAACAAATTAGGATGCTGGCTTGCAAAGCAAACAAATGCAACAAGCAAGGTACTAAGTGGACTGCTTTTGGATGTTAATTCAGTCAGACCTGCTGTGTTACAGAATAGAGCTACAATTGACTCTTCACTATTGGCTCAGGGACGTGATTGTAAAGAATTACAAGGAAGGTGTGGTATGAATTTGTCTGATCATTCTGAGTCTACTCACAGTGCATCCAACAGCTGCAAGAGGGAGTTGCAAAGCTGCAGGTTAAGAATAGCTGGGATTACCTGGAAAACCTGCTGAACAGTTGGGGAATATCAGGATGGGTTAAAGCCATAGTAAAGATGGGATGGGCCGGTGTGGGGATGTTTCTGGGTATTGCAATATGCTTGCCATGCTTGATGCAATGCAATCAACCAACTATAAACAAAGCACTAAAGGCTGTTTTATTTGTAAAAAAAGAAGGGGGAATTATGGAGGTGAACAGTGTCACCTCCCTCGGGCCCAGGACAGTGGACACTGTTCCACTAGCTGGCAGAAAGCCACGGGAACGGAAAGCAGGACAAAGAGGACACAGAAAAAAAAGATACAAGACTGCAAGAAGGACCTTGGTTGCTAAGAAATGTAGTTATTTGTATCTATTAAAACACAGGCTGTATTACATAGACTTGAAAAAGTAAGCATAAGTAGATCACCAATTGTTCTGCTTGAGCTACCTGTTGTTCTGCCTGGGGTATATAAGCTTATGCATTGTCATAATAAAGGTCTACATCTTCCTTATACCACCAAAACAGAGTCTGTGCCTTTTAAAGCCACACTCCTTCTATTGGGTAAAGGACTGAGGAAGTTGGACCTGTGTCTGACCAGGACATGTGCAAACCAAATGCTGGGGACTGGAACACACACCTGGCACTCCTGCAGCTCTTACCATTACATTC